GGCATTTGCTTGCACGTGGCCAACCCAGATTCGATCCCAGGCATCTCTTATGGTCCCCTGTATACTTCCAGGACTAATACTTGAACGCAAGCCAGGAATAACCCCACAGCACCCCTGGGTGTGGTCTCCAAATAAAACAATACAATAGAAAAGCTACTCCTGGCGGTGCTTGGGGGACCATATGGGTTGCCTGGGATCGAATACCGGTCGCAAGGCAAGTGTGCTCCAGCTCAATTTTAATGCTTTAAGTGTCATTAGGGGAGAAGTGGCTCCCAGTGTGGAGACTGGAAAGTGGGAACAAGAGCGTCAGTGGGTAGCAATGGACCGGGGAGATGGCCCACAGGGTTGGAGTGCTGTGGTCCAGGGTTTGGTCTTGGAACCACATTATTCTGGGCTGGGAACAGCCCTGGAGTACCAGCAAGTGAGACCCCAAAAAGAAATGGCTTTGCCACCAAGGGAAGTTACTCGATTCTTTTTTGTTTTTGTTTTTTGCTTTCTGGGTCACATCCAGCGATGCACAGGGGTTACTCCTGGCTCTGCACTCAGGAACTACTCCTGGCCGTGCTCGGGGGACCATATGGGATGCTGGGAATCGAACCCGGGTCGGGCCGCGTGCAAGGCAAACACCCTACCCACTGTACTATCACTCCAGCGTCAGATTCTTTTTTGTTTTGTTTCTGTTTTGTGTCTGCAGGCGGTGGTGCTCGGGGCCACTATCTGTGGGTGCTTAGTGCTGTGCGGGAGGGACTGTGCAGTGATGGGACCAGGCTCCAACCTGGGCTCCTGCGTGCAAATCGTGGGTTCTTAGCTCCTTAGAAGCTCCCCACCCTCAGGGCTGGGGAATAGTACAGCAGGTGGGGCTGTACTATCTTATATGTGGCCGGCCCGGGTTTGAACCCCAGTACTGCATAGGGTGCCCAGAGTTCCACCAGGAGTAATTCCTGAGTGCAGAGACAGAAGCACCCCTGAGTGTCGCTAGCTATGTCCCCCAAACCAGCATTCTTTTCTTATTTGGTTTTTGTGCTATACTCAGCTGTGCTTAGGGGACATACATGCAGTGTTGGGGATTGAATTGAGGTCAGCCACACACAAGGCAAGTGGCCCTGTCGCTGGCCTAGTTCTAACCACTTCACCTATCTCCTTAGCTCTGTTGAAAGATTTTAATTCCAGAAATGTAGTCTCTTCCTTCTTCCTTTCCTTCTTCCCTCCCCTCTTCCATCTTTCCTTCCTTGATTTGGGGCCATACCAGGCAGTGCTCAGGGATCATTCCTGGTGGAACTCGAGGACCGTTATGAGTGGTGGGGATCAAGCCCAGGTTGGCTGCTTGCAAGGCAAGCACCTTACCCACTGTATTATCTCTCCAGCCCTCAGACTTTGTTTTCTTATCCATAAAACTGGGTTATCACCAGGGGTCTGTGTCCTGCTATTTCCAGTTTTCTGGCACCAGTTTTTGGTGTCTTGTATTATTGTCTGGGACGATGATGACAAGAGGACGATGAGACTACGATGACGACTGGAGCGATAACACAGTGGTAGGGCGTTTGCCTTGTGTGCAGCCAGCCCTGCCGAGCAAGGTTCGATTCCTCCGCCCTTCTTGGAGAGCCCAGAAAACTACCGAGAGTATCTCACCTGCACAGCAAAGCCCAGCAAGCTCCCTGTGACGTATTCAATATGCCAAACACAGTAACAACAAGTCTCACAGTGGAGACGTTACTGGGCCCGCTCGAGCAAATCGATGAACAACGGGAGGACCGTGACCATGACTGTATTATCGTCTGGCAGAGCATCTTTGGGGGGCAGAGGAGGTCACACGTGCTGATAGCTAGGATTACTCCTGGCTCAGGGCTAGGGTTTTTTTCCCCAGCAGTGCTTAAGGGACTGATTGTGCAGTTTTGGGGCTCGAACTCCAGCCTTCTACCTGCAAAGCACTTGTTCCTGCTCATTGGTCTCTGGTGCACTGCCACCAGGTGTGGGAGGACCATGGCCAGGTGTGTGATCTCTGGTGAGCTGTGACCACAGTGTGCTGGGCATCATGGAACATTTCCTTTTTTTTTTCCCCCCACATCTGGTGATGCTCATTCTAGTGCTTACTCTGGGCTCTGCACTCAGGAATTACTCCTGGCGGTGCTCAGGGGATCACGTGGGATGCTGAGACTCAAACCAGGGAGTAACCCCTGAGCATCCCAGAGTGTGACCCAAAAACAGAAACAAAAAATTTGGTAAGAGAAACAGAAACACACATACCATAGGTCTAAAAGTACAGGGGTTAGGCTCATGCCTTGAAGTAGCCAGCCTGGATTAATTCCTGGTGCCACACGGTTCCCAAGACATGGCCAGGTGCAGTTCTCGGGGCCCCTAAGCACCTCTGGGTGTGGCTTTGGAGAACGCTGAGCACCCCCAGAATGGGAGGGGAGTCCCTGCACCAGTGATTCAGAAGAGGACTGCATCATTGGGGCCTTGTGTTGAGCTGTCAGGGCGATCGCCAGAACTCTGGGCACTGCTTACGTAACCCCTACCTGCACCCACAATAGAGATCATACAGGGATTAAGGTCTTGTCTTGCATGCTGCTAACCCTGTATGATCCCCAACATCACATGGCCCCAACATCACATGGCTCTAGGAGTGACCCCACGCATAGAGCTAGGAGTGAGTCCCCAAGTACCACAAAGTGTGGTCCAACACGCTGCTTCCCCAAGAAGTAAATGAAGGAGCTGAGGATGTGTCTTAGTGGCAGAGCCCTTGCGTTCAGTGTGGGAGGCCCTGGGTTCAGTTCTTGCACTGCGAGGACTCAGCTTCGAGTACAGGACTTGGTCAAGCCCCTGAGCAACTCTGGGTGTGGCCCCAAGACGCCCCCCTAAAAAAAAGGAAAAAGCAAACATGGAAAACTAAAACCCAATATTGATAAAATTTGGTATAAGAGACACATAAAAATTCATAGTATAAAATTCATAAAAGGCCCTCCCGTTGATCATCGATTTGCTGGAGCGGGCCCAGTAACGTCTCCATTGGAGACTTTGTTGTTACTGTGTCTGGCATATCAAATACGTCACGGGGAGCTTGCCAGGCTCTGCCGTGCGGGCGAGATACTCTCGGTAGCTTGCCGGGCTCTCCGAGAGGGGCGGAGGAATTGAACTTGGGTCGGCCACGTTGGCTGCGTGCAAGGCAAGCGCCCTACCGCTGTGCTATCGCTCCAGTATATTCATAGTATATACATATATTTTTTTGCAAAATATTAAACTATATTTTTAAAAATTCATACTATAGGGAATCTTGCATGATACCACTACACCAGTGGCATGGCTAGGGTAGGGCATTTGCCTTGCAACGCAGCCGACCTGCGTGCAAGGGTTCAGTTCCTCCACCCTTTTCGGAGAGCCCGGCAAGCTACCAAGAGTATCTCTCCTGTACGGCAAAGCCTGGCAAGCTCCCCGTGACGTATTTGATATGCCAAACACAGTAACAACAAGTCTCACAATGGAGACGTTACTGGTGCCTGCTTGAGCAAATTGATGAACAACGGGAGGACAGTGCAATGCAGTGCATACTGTAGGGATGAGAGTACAGTGCGTAGAGACCTTTTCTTGCACAGGGGCCAACCCAGGTTTGATCTCCAGCACCACTTAGGGTTCCCTGAGCACTGGCAGGAGTGATTCTGAGCACAGAGCCAGGAGGAAGCCCTGAGCACCCTGGGGTGTGCCCCCCCCCAATCAAAGACGTATTATAGGGTCAGGAAGATAGCTCAGAGGGTTTAGAGCATGCTTGGCATGCGGGAGGCCTGGATTTCAACCCTTGTTCCTCGTGGTCTCTGAGAACAAACAGGAGCAACCCCTGAACACAGGACTTTAAAGTATCCTCTGAATGTTGCCAGGTGTGACCTCAAGGTCAAATAATAGTAGTAATGATAACGAAATTAAAATAAAAATACAGAGTACAGTGATAGTACTTGGGGTACTTTCAAGTACCATTGGGAGTTTCTCCCCTCCCGTACTTCCAAATTCTATAAGATAACCTATACATGTAGCACTGTAGGCTAAGTACACATTCGAATGAGTTCAAACACCCAGCCAAATTATCCTGTGTTGTTTAGGGGTGCATGTTGGAGTGGTGCAATATGTGAATAGTCAAATTTGAGCGTGCATCGGATTGTTAAAACCACAGATGTCTGGACCCCTTCCAGGATTTCCAATTAATTAATCAGAGCTGTGCGGAGACTGGGACATTTTCTGGTTTTAAGTTTTGGTTTTGGGGCTTTGCTCAGGGGTTGTTCCTGGCTCTGTGCTCGGGAGTGACCCTGGTGGTGTTGGGGGGGGGGGGAGGGAGGAGAACTGCAGGTGGTGCCAGGGATCCCGCGGGGGATCTGCCACACGCTGGGCAGATCTCTCGGGTTCTGTTTTCTTTCTTTTTCTTTCGCTAGCCTTATTACTTTCCATGTTTGTTATTAGTTTGATTTGGGGTGGGGGGGGAGAGAGAGAGAGAAAGAGACAGAGACAGACAGAGACAGAGATACAGAGAGAGACAGAGATACAGAGAGAGACAGAGATAGAGACACAGAGAGGCACACAGACAGACGGACAGAAACAGAGACAGCAGGTCTCACGGATGCAAAGCATACCCATTAGTTAACCCTGGGTTACAATTTTTTTCCCCTTTACTTTTCCCACTCGGCTTAAAATCTACAGTCTCCGCAAGAAAAAAAAAAAAGAAAGAAAAGCGCAAAAAGCAAAGGAGGAAAAGGAAATTTCGTCTCGGCAAAGCGAGAGGCCAAGGGTCACAGTTCCGGCAGCAGGGCGGGGGCGCAGAGAGCCGAGCGCGCCTGCCCACGAGGATGCTGCAGCGCGCGGTCGGTCAGGCGCGCCGCGGGGCCGCCCGTCGCCCTGGAGACGGGGTCCTTCCCCGCCGGGCGCCGCCATCTTGGGGCGCCCGCGCCGGCCAATGGGCGGCCGCTCCGTGGCCGGGGGGCGGGCCTTCGGCGGCGGCGGCGCTCGGCGCGGCCTGCGGCTCTGCTCGCCCGGGATCATGGAGGCGCCGGCCGGCCGCCCGCTGCTGCTGCTGCTGCCGCTGCTGCTCCCGCTGCTCGGGGCGCGCGCCGCCGCCGACGGGCCGCCGCTCGTCAACGAGGACGTGAAGCGCACGGTGGACCTGAGCAGCCACCTGGCCAAGGTGACGGCCGAGGTGGTGCTGGCGCACCCGGGCGGCGACGCGTCCCGCGCCCCGGCCGCCGCCTTCCTGCTGGCGCTGGAGCCCGAGCTCGAGAGCCGCCTGGCGCACCTGGGCGTGCAGGTGAGTGCGGGCCGGGCCCGCGGGGCGGGGGGCCGCGCCGCCGGCACGACACGTCAGCACCGCCGCGGCCCGGCCCGTCCCGGCGCCCACGTCCGCCCCCCGGGCCCGCAGCAGGTGCCCTCGCCCGTCCCCCGCGCTCGGGGCCGGGTCGGGGCCGGTCTGCACCCTGCGATCCTTTAAACACCCACCGCCCCGCCTGTTTTTTTTTAAAAATGCATCACACATGCAAAGGGTGGAAAGGAACGCTTGCAACACCCCCTCCCCCACACGCCCTTAAAAGTTCGAGAAAGCTTGCGGGTCGGTCCCCTCTGCGCCCACCCACCCGCCCTCTCCGGCAGTCCCTGCCCCCGTGTTGGCTTCCAGGCATTCCGCTCTCCAGGACAGTGCGCTTGGCTGCTGGGAGCAGAGGGAATCTCCCAACGCAGATGGCTCTGTTTTCTTTCTCTTTCTTTTTTATTTTTTTTAATTTTTATGACTATTTTTTTAATTCAACAATGTCCATTAAGTGATTACCCAATTATTTGGTGGCGAGACTAGTCATTAGTGATCTGTTTCCTGCAAACGCCTTCTCCGGGCTGGAGTTTGGAGCTATAAAGCCAGGTTTATGGAGATGATGCTTCAAGAAAGGGCTCCTGGGCCCATTCATGCCTTCACCAACCGCCAGACCTTGCAGCTGGACACAAAGGGTTGTGGAGAGATGGATTAGGATTTTATTTCCGTTTGTACTTACACCCCTTGACTGTGAAATCCTGTCCTTGAATAGGAGCTTGTCATTTATGAGGTTGCCACAGCATTACGAGACCAAAGCAGATGTTAACCTCGCTGCTGGCATACTGGAGAACCAACCAACCTCCCTTTCCTTTCCTTTCCTTTCCCCTTCCTTCCTTCTTTCCTTCCTTCCTTCCTTCCTTCCTCCCTCCCTCCCTCCCTCCCTCCCTCCCTCCCTCCCTCCCTCTCTCCCTCTTACCTTCCCTCCTTCCCTCCCTTTCTTCCTCTATCCCTCCCTCCTTTTCTCCTTCCCTCTCTTCCTCCCTCTCTCCCTCCTTGTTGAACCACACCCTGACCACACCCCGCTCTACTCAGGGATCACTCCTGGATCTGTGCTCAGGATTGGGGGGGGTTGGTGTTCAGTGTACCATGTGGGGTGTGTGGGACCCACCTGGGTTGTCCCACTGCGCGTCTCTAAAACCCGGGCCACCTCGTGGGTCAGCGCGTACCGTGCGTCTCTGTCACTGCACTTTTGAGTTGTGTGTGCTGTGGATATGAGCACAAGGTGTGTATACATGGGGGTGGTTACAATAGATGCCATTGTCAGGAGATGCTTTCTGGATCGCGACCTGCTCAGCACCGGCTTGCCAGAAATCTTCAGCTTGTCGGGAAGCCCACCTGTGGGTGCACCAGCACGAAGTGGCAGAAGGGCGCCCGTACGTGGTGCCGTTCAGGAGAGCCGAACCCTCACGTGGAAATACCAGGACTTCCGGGTGGGGAGGCCCCAGTTCACTCCTCTCTGTGGCGCTTCCTCTTGCGTCTCGGGCTGGCTTTGGGGACCCCAACAGCATGTCACTGGCTGGGCCTGACTGAGCACTGAGTTCTGCCTCGTAGTTGGACCCAGTAACCCAGGAGTGACTCTCAGAACACTGCTTGGGAGACCCACTGGCAAAGTTTCTTTGGGACTTTTTTTTTTTCCTCCTACATATTCAAATATGCATATAAAATAAGTGTTAGATATTTATGCGGTGGAAATGTGTATGACTAGAAAATTCCTTTTCCCTTGCATGAAGGAGATCCACAGAGGCAGATCCTTGGGGGAACAGGAGCCCCTGGTTTGCTGCTTTGACGTGTGGGCCCCTCACAGAACAGGCTCGGTGGCCCAGAGAGAATCGAATGGCAACGCTAGCTGGCTGCAGAGGCTCCCTGAGAAGGGTGGGGCCCTTGAATCTCTAGGATGGGTGGAGAAGTGCACGGAGGAGACTTAGATGTATTGTTGATGGCAAACTAGCCTTCACCACAGGAATACAAATCAAGACTGCTTCGGACTGACCTCGGACTTCGCAATAGTGGGCCCATTCAGGACAGAACTGCTGTGAACATTTCAAAAAGCCTAAAACTAATCATCCCATCATTTTCTATAAAGTTGTATAGGCTATTAAAAGAAGGGCGCTTTATATTACTTTGGATGAGAATCTTACAGTGGAAATATTTTCTTGCACCCACGCCTGTCAGGAATTACTACTTAATAAGGGGTTGGAGGAACTGTATTTCAAGGACAAGCTCCGGACAAGAGGAGAGCAGAGCAGTAAGATGGGTCCTTTGGTCATAAAAAGGAATCAGTCATCACCATGACCCCTTGTACCAATTTAAAACTTCTGCTTCTTGATCAAAGCCTCCAAATGAATCATCAGAAAATACACACCCTGGGGGCTGGAGTTATTAATCATGGGAAGGGCATTTGCCTTGCACACGGCCTACCGGGGTTCAATTCTCGGCATCCCATATGGTCCCCTCAGCACTGCTGGGAGTAATTCCTGAGTGCAGAGCCAGGAGAAACCCCTGAGCATCGCTGAGTGTGCCCCCCCCCCAAAAAAACCCCAAAAACCAAAAAACAAGAAAAATACACGCCCTCTTCGTATTTTTGTTTTGTGCCACACATGTTGGTGCACAGGACTTACTCCTGGCTCAGTGCTCAGAAATCACTCCTGGTGGTGCTTGGGGGATCCTATGTAGGGCTGTTGAACTGGGGTCGGCCGTGTGCCTGGCAAGCACCTTTGTCCCGCTGTCTCTAGCCCACTTCTCTGTTAAGAGCAGTAAGTCACTTGTTTCCCACTGGAACAAGCCTCTGAAAGGCACTTGGGTTCGTTTGCATTATCGATAGTTACGGACTTAAGTGATTCTGCTATAATCCGGTTTGTGCAGTTCTGATCCCCCACCGCCAGCCTTCGGAGCCAGAGAGGAAGAGGGGAGTCTGAAGTAGTAGGAGATGACTAACCCGTGACTCCTACTCATCTTTCCCTGGACTTGGCCCCCCCAACTGCCTTGTATTCCTCCATCTGGAGAACCTCAAATGATTGTTGGAAGGGTTCGAGGATAAATAGACTTCAAGTGTCTTCCACCATACCTGCCACAGAAGATTTGCTTTTTTCCTTGTTTTGATCTTGCTGCTGTTGCTGGGCGACCAGATGTGGTTCCTGGGATTCAAACCCAGGTTGTGTCTTGTAGCCACATACTAGCCAAGAGCCTTCTCTCCTGCCCCACAAAGTGGATTTTCAGTTAAGAACTGAGTATGAAGGCGGGCTGGGGACGTAGCTCAGCGGTAGAGCTTTGCCGTGGGTGTGTCTGAACGTCATTGGCAGTGGCCTCCAGGCCTCCTCAGCACTGCTTCACAATCCTCCGCCCTAAGTAGGAGGATTGGGGCTGGCGAGAGGCCGGGAGGCTGAGTGCTGTTCTGCATGCAAATTCTCCAGCACCACCGGGTATGGCCCCAAAACAAAACAAACTTGTGGTTGGAGCACTGCAGTGCGGTCACTCTGAGGTGACTGGTTAATCGTGGACACAAATTTAGAGCCAAAAGACCACATAAAGACTAACCTACCTTGTTCTTTCATAGGTGAAAGGAGAAGATGAAGAAGAGAACAATTTGGAAGTACGAGAAACCAAAATTAAGGGGAAAAGGTAAGCTCCCACAACCCGGATGGCCATGGTGGGCCTTGTACCGGCGTTTGAAGTCACGAACGGGGCTGGAGTATTGCAGGGCTGATGCTAAGCACACGCCTTGTCCTCCGTCCTGTCCGTGGTCCCCAAAACCTCTTCCCTCTTCTGGTGAGGACATTTTTCAACTGCGCTTGCAAAGCAGGAAGTATTAGATGAAGACTCTACAACCATCTACCACCAGTTTTCACAATTGTCAGTATTCTCATATCGTTCGTTTTTGGGGTTACACCTGGAGTGTTCAGGGTCTCCTCCCAGCTTCAGGCCAGGGGGTCGGTCCCAGGGGTGCTTGGAGATCCGTTGGTGTCAGGGCTCGAACCTGGGTCTCCTGATGCAAAACCAGCGCTCGGCTCTGTCTCACCGTGGAGAACTGCTCACACTGGACTGGTGCAGGTTCCCTGCGTTAACACGTGTTCTATGCCACTGTACAGGGCCCACGTAGTAAGCCTGGTCACGGCAGAGAGGCGAGGCAGTGGGAAAGACTCCGAGGCCTGGCCTTCTCATTCTCTGGGGCTGGTAATGCGGGAGGAGGCTGAGGTGCCCTGGGTGGAATTCTCCCATAGGGGTGTGGGTCTCCTTTGCAGTCAGTTGGAAACAATGCGATTCTTTTTTGAACTTTTTGAGTGTGTGTGTGTTGGGGGGCGGGGAGGGTGTCTGCCCTTGCTGAGGGTGAGTGGGGTTGGGTGTTCTTGGCAGGGCATGGGGGGACCGTGCAGTGCCGGATACTAAGCCCTGGCTCCTGCGTCTGTGTATAGCATGTGCTTCCTCCCTCTCAGCTATCTCCCCAGTCTGCAGTCTCTTTCAAACAGCTGCTACTTACTTCTCGCAAGGACTACACACAGTGCTCAAACTTGTCTTTTTGCTTTTTGGTATTTGGGCCATTCTTGGCCTGTGTTCAGGACTTAACGCCCAGATCTGCTCAGTGATCATTCCTAGTCGGGCTCGGGGTCACAAGGGATGCCGGGGATCGAACCTGGGTTGACCTCATACGGGGCAAGCGCCCTCCCTGCCGTGCTGTCTGTCCCTCAGATCTGTCTTTTAAGTGTTTTGGGTTCTGGGCTATCCCCAGCCGTGCCCAGGGTTTATTCCTGTCCCTGCACTCTGGATGGGGGGCTTGGGATCCGTTCAGGGTGCTGGGGATCGACCCCAAGTCAGCTGCTTGCAGGGTAAGTGTCTTTCCCGCTCAACTATCTCTCAGGTCTTAAATTGGCCCTTACTCCCCCACTCTTGCTGTCGGAGGGCACACCTCTTGGGTTCTCAGGAAGTGGATGCCTGCTTTAGCTTACCTAACAGAAAGCAAGCCCTTCATGGACTTAGCTGGGAAGGAGCCACGGCAGAAACACTCGTCTGCTTCCTGGTCGCCACCACGGCAGCCGGCTGGTTGTCTGTCTCTTCTTTTATGGGTCAGAAGCTTCACGAGCGGGGGCTGGTGCTTTGCAGGGAGAGATAAGGTTCACACTGATAGTGCCAGAACGCTAAAAGGTTCAGGCGTGTTTTCTGAATCAGCAGAGCTAGTCAATTGTGGGAACAGTTAACATAACATGCAAGTTAAGGTGGAGTGACACCTGGGATGGGGAGGGAGATGGAGATGATCAGATAGGGGAAACCATTAGCGCTGGAGGGCAGAGACTAATTAGAGGCAGAGGTGCCCCATCGAGTTGAGAGGCAGCCTGGGCACGGAGGAGGAGGCGGACGGAAGCAAGAAGGGATGACTGCGTGGCTTTCTCAGGCAGGGCAGAGGAGAAATTGGAGATATAGCTTGGGGTACAGTGAGTTGGAGGGACAGCTGGAGCTGCTTGGTTACAGGGGGAGACGATGGCAGAGTTCGAGATGGTTGGGACCGAGCTGGATTTTGAGTTCCTGCAGGGGCTCCAGCGTTGCCGTCCAGGGCCCTGTTCTTCAGCCCCTGGGCCCGAGCCGGTCAGCAGAGATTTCCCGGCGACTCAGAATCTCCTACCCCAACCCCCAGTCACATGGCAGCTCCCAGCAGCGGCAGATTTTATGCAAGCGAAGAATTGATTAAATTTAATAAAGGAATATCCCCATTGGGTTTTGTTTCTGTCAGCCATCAGCTCGTTCATTCGGGAAGTAGTTCTCTAGTTTTCCGAGGTCTGCAGGTATAAGAAAGCTAAAACGCTTGTCTAGGGAACATGGGAAAGTAGATTAATACTCGGGGCAGAGAGCAGGAAGCGGAGATTGGGGACTTGGGGTTTGGTCATGACAGACCCAGGAGGGCTGTGGGTTCAGTGGGTTGCTGCACCTGCTTGGCGCGTGTCTCTTGGCTCGTGTCCAGCTTTGCATGGTCCCCAGCACTGCCGGGTGTGACCCAGAAACCAGGGAACAGCAACAACAAAAAGGACTGACCTGGAAGAAGATGGGGATATTATATTTTGGGTGGGCCCTTCAGATCAGAGACAGGAAGTGATGGCTACACTTGGACATTTAGTTCAGACTTTTTTTTTCCATTTTTGTCCGTATCCTGCAATACTCAGCATACTCGTGGCTCTGTGCTCAGAGCTCATTCTTGTGGGCACTTGGGGTCCCGATGTGATAATAGGAATTTGAGCTAGCATCTGCCACACGCAAGGTAACACATTGTACGCATCTTACATCACTCTCTGGGGTTTTGGGGCCACACTCGGCAGTGCTCAGGGATCCCCCCCTGGTGGGCTCGGGAGTCCATAGTGGTTTTGAACTTGGGTTGGCCTTGTGCGAGGCAGGTGCTCTCCCTGCTTCTGTCTCATTCTGGCATCTTACTGTTTCCTCAGCTGGAATGTTTTAAACTTGTCCGTTTGTTGGATACTTAGGCTGTTTCACATTCATTCGTACTCTTAGGAACTTTAAAAAATTTTTAAATTTTAATAGTGTTCACAATTTATTACATTCAATATTCCAACACCAATCCCCCCGCTGTAACACCTTCCCACCACCAGTACTTCGAATTTTCCCACCACCACCCAAGCCTGCCCCCAAAGCGGGTTCTAAAGAATTCATTTTGTGCGCTTGTTATGAATAATGCGTTAAAAGTGATCCAAAAAAAGTTCTTAGAAGAAGATGTGTGAAGATTGTTGTATCTCAACCCTCCAGCTATTAAGCCCTTGTATAAGAGCTTACTAGCGTGTTGTTACCTGTTGAGCCTGTGTGCTAATAACAGGCTATTATGATGAGCCTTACAGATCTGATCTTTGAAGGCTTAATGAAGTTAATAGGTCGAAAGCCATCTCTTGGAAGTGGCCCTGGGTACGGAACGGGGGCGTGATGCTGGCCGGCCCTGTTTCCAGCATGCTCACTCGGTGCTCTGTCCCTTCTACTTGCAGCGGCCGATTCTTCACCGTCAAGCTCCCTTCTGCCCTGGAGCCCGGGAACAAGATCTCGGTGGTGGTGGAGACAGTCTACACACACGTGCTTCAGCCGTACCCGACCCAGATCACCCAGTCCGAGAAGCAGTTTGTGGTGTTCGAGGGTAACCATTACTTCTACTCTCCCTACCCGACAAAGACACAGACCACCCGTGTCAAGCTGGCCTCCCGGAATGTGGAGAGCTACACCAAGCTGGGCAACCCCACGCGCACCGAGGACCTCCTGGATTATGGGCCTTTCCGGGACGTGGCCGCCTACAGCCAGGTGCGGGGCCGGGCGGCCTCAGAGAAGGCCTGGGGGGGCAACCCGTGGAACATTTTGAGGGCTCTAGGATGGGTGGAAACGGAAAATCACTTTTAAAGGGTGCACCCCCAGCAGTGCTTGTGGTGATTGCTGGGGCCCACTACATCTTTCGACCATCAGGGTTGTAGGTGGGGTCTGGGGCATTGAACTGGGCTTTGCACTTGTCAACTTAAGTGCTACCCCTGGGGCTACCTCTGTCCCCTCAATATTTTTTTTTTTTTGGCTTTCTGGGTGATACCTGGAGATGCTCAAGGGCTACTCCTGGCTTTACACTCAGGAATTACTCCTGGTGGTGCTCAGGGGACCCTATGGTATGCCGGGGATTGAACCCAGGTCAGCCGTGTGCAAGACAAATGCCCTCCCCGCTGTGCTATCGCTCTGGCTCCCAAAAATCTTACCCTTCCTGCAATGCTATGGATTGAGCTCTGGCCCTCACACAGGCACGGTGCATGTTTGCTGTCATTGAAATGCGTCTCTTGCCTTTTCAAAAGTCTTTCTATTTTTGTTTTATTTTTTAATTTCCCTTTTTTTTTTTTTTTTTTTTTTTTTTTACTTTTTGGGTCACACCCAGCCATCCATGCACAGGGGTTACTCCTGGCTCTGCACTCAGGAGTTACTCCTGGCTCTACACTCAGGGGTTACTCCTGGCGGTGCTCAGGGGACCATATGGGATGCTGGGAACCGAACCCACGTCGGCTGCCTGCAAGGCAAACGCCCTGCCTGCTGTGCTATCGCTCCAGCTCCTGTTTTCTTTTTATGAGGATCATGCTTGGGTCACACCCGACAGCATGTGTGGCTACTAAGGCCAAGTAGGGCATCTGGCCTGGCTTTGTTGGAGGCTGGGGACCCCCCAGGGTCACCCCTGGTGCTGGGTGGGTGGGGCACACAACGCAGGAATCCCTTCAGGGCCTCGTACATGTGAAGGTGAGCGACATTCCCACCCGGCCTCTACCCCACCCTGTGTTGCTTAAGGCTTACCCTGACTGCTCAGGAATCATTCCTGGCAATGCCAGGGACCATATATGATGCCAGGGATTGAACTTGGGTCAACCACGTGCAGGGCAATGCCTTAGCCTCTGTACTGTTTACCTAGAAAGCAAAGAGTTAGTGCAGCAGGGAGGGTGCTTGCCTTGCACACAGCTGACCTGGTGTGTTTCAATCACTGGTGTCCCAGATGTTCCCCCGAGCCCTGCCAGAAGGGCAGGAGTGATCCCTGAGTCTAGAGTCACCAGCCCTGAGTACAGCTGGGTGTGCCCCTCAGCCCCCGGCACCCCCAAGTAAAGGTAAAGGTAAAGGTAAAGGTAAAGGCCCTCCCGTTGATCGTCGATTTGCTCGAGCGGGCCCAGTAACGTCTCCATTGGAGACTTTGTTGTTACTGTGTCTGGCATATCGAATACTCTCGGTAGCTTGCCAGGCTCTCCGAGAGGGGCGGAGGAATCGAACTCGGGTCGGCCATGTTGGCTGCGTGCAAGGCAGACGCCCTACCCGCTGTGCTATCGCTCCAGCCCCCAAGTAAAAAGAACAGCTAATCCATTTCAGATTCTCTTTCCCCCTTCTCACTTTGCTGTTGCTGCTGCGTCCACCTGCACGTGGCCGAGAGGCCCGCTGGGGCGCTCGCGTCTCCTTTGTCCAGGGCTGTAGTCTTGGACCTCTGCGGTGCCTGTGTGTGCCATACTGGACTTGCCCTCCAGACCTAGAGCATGAGTTCTTTTATTTTTTGTTTTTGTTTTGGGGCCACACTCAGGGGTTACTCCTGGCTCTGCATACAGGAGTCACTCTTGGCGGTGCTCGGGGGACCACCTGGGATGCCGGGGAAGAAATCCAGGTCGGCTGCGCTGCCAGGCAAACTCCCTATCTGCCGTACCTTTGCTCCGAGCGCTATCATGAATATTTCCATCACGAAACGTCTCTAGGCAGCCCATCCTGTTAGAGTTAGGTCCGTCCGTCGGCTGCTTTTATGCCCGTGTTGGTTCCTCTGTCACCCATGCTTGGAGCTTTGTCCTCCCCAGGACCCTCTGAAGGTGCACTACGAGAACAACAGCCCCTTCCTGACCATCACCAGCATGACCCGCGCCATCGAGGTCTCTCACTGGGGCAACATCGCTGTGGAGGAGAACGTGGACCTGAAGCACACAGGGGCCGTTCTGAAGGGCCCTTTCTCCCGCTATGACTACCAGCGGCAGCCCGACAGCGGGGTCTCCTCCATCCGCTCCTTCAAGGTCAGCTCAGCCTGAGGGACTCCCAAATTTCTGAAAACACCTCCAGGGCAGAGCCAGGGCCACAAAGTTTAAAAAACGTCTACAAGTTTGCTTTGTTGCTCTTTGGGGCCACATGCGGGCACTGTCCCGGGCTCCTGTGGGCAGTAGCTCCCGCTTCTCCCTGCTTGGCTGGGGGTCTCGGTGTTGACCACATGCTGCTGGGGAGTGAGCTGGAGGTTCCTGCAGACAAGGCGTGTCCCCCGACCCTCAGAGCCATCTTCCCGGCTCTATTGTATTTTGCCCAAGGACCAGGCCGTGCCCCTCTAGAGGAGTGTGGCAGTGCAGGGGAGGGTGGGCACAGTGCCAGGGCTGGCACTCAGGGCGTGGCCCTCGCTCTGCTGCTGGAGCCTCCCTGGCTTGAGGTCCTGTTTTCACCTTGGGGCTTCGAGGTCGAGGTTTTCACTTTGGGCTTTCACCCGGCAGTGCCCGGGGCCCCTGTGCTCGGTGTTTGGCGCTGGGCTGGCAGGGTCTGGAGGTCTGAGGGTGCCACTCAGCCTGATGATCTGTCTCTGCGTTTGCAGAAAAGAACCGGGAAAATACGTTTATAAGCCGCCCCGAATCTAATATCATTGACATCTTAAGTTTTATCTTGCCCTTTTTTCTTTGGTTTGGTTGGTTTGGTTTGGTTTGGTTTAGCGCCACATCCGGTGTGCTCAGCTCTGCACTTAGGGATCACTCCCAGCAGTGTCTGGGGTGATATTCGGTGCTGGGGAGTGAACCTAGGTCAGCTGGTGTGAGGTGCGAGGCCAGAGCCCTCCCCCCCTTACAATGTCTAGCCCTGTTTTTGGAGGCTGAAGTCCGACTCAGATGAGGGCATGGGCACAGAAGGTCTTTGTTGCCTTCAGGGTCATTTCCTGCAAGCACGTTTCTGAGTCTCTGCAAAGCGTCATGTCTCTGCTCTTGCAGACCATCCTCCCTGCCGCCGCCCAGGACGTGTATTACCGGGACGAGATTGGAAATGTTTCCACCAGCCACCTCCTTATTTTGGATGACTCCGTGGAGATGGAAATCCGGCCTCGATTCCCTCTTTTTGGTGGCTGGAAGACCCATTACATCGTGGGCTACAACCTCCCGAGCTACGAGTACCTCTATAATTTGGGTGAGTCTCCATGGCTCCGCGAGACAGCGTGGCCCCTCTGTCTCTCCCGAGTGTCTCTCTAATCAGCTGCCCAGGGCGTCCGCAGCCCTGGCTCCCCCAGCCTTCACGCATCCCCATGCTCGCTGCCTCCCCAGGTGACCAGTACGCGCTGAAGATGAGGTTTGTGGACCACGTGTTTGACGAGCAGGTCATCGATTCTCTGACTCTGAAGATCATCCTGCCCGAGGGAGCCAAGTGAGTCTGGTGGGCCATGGGAGCGTGTGGGTGCACTGTGCAGGGGCTTGGTGACGGGAGGACACATAGGGGATCGCTACATGAGGGGGCCTCAGAGCAGGCCCAGAGAACATTCAGCATAGCCTGTGTCTATGGACAGGGCAGAGTTGTTAGTTGCCTAGGCAGTCAGTGAGATGCCTGCATCTGTGGGATGGTTGGGTGGCCAGGAGGAAGGGCCTGTGTCTGCGGTGTGGTCAGCGGCCATCGGAGAGGCTGCTCTGTGGGGTGGTCAGTGCCTTCCTTCAGAGAAGGGCATGGGAAGGGAGCTGTGACTTCATCTTGCCCTGGGCTCCTCAGGCCATCCTCAGAAAGGGGACATCTCGGGCAGTTCTGGGCACTGGGTGCTGACTTTGGCACTGTGTGTATAAGCTGATGGACACTTGTCGGGGCAGCTGCCCTTGGCGCCAGTGACAGTCACAGACTGCCGCAGTCCTCCTGTCACTTGGTTCTAGATACTTCCTGCATTTCATTTCTTTCATTTGTTTTGGTTTGGGCCACCCCCAGAGGTGCTTGGGGACCCATGTGGTGCCAGCGATCGAGCCTGGGCCTCCTGTGTGCAAATGTGCCCAGCGTCACCGTAGGGCAGCTAGGGATGCCCAGGGGTCCTTTCTGACTCTGCATTCAGGAATCACTCGTGGCGGTGCTTGGGGACCTTGTGGGGTGCTGGGGATTGAACCCAGGTTAGCTGCATGCCAGGCAAGCTCCCTCTCTATTGTGCTATTGTTCCAGCTGCTGGGTTTATTTAATTTATTTATTTTTGCTTTTTGGATCACACCCGGCAATGCATAGGGGTTACTTCTGGCTCATGCACTCAGGAATTACTACTGGCAGTGCTCAGGGGACCACATGGGATGCTGGGAATCGAACCCGGGTCGGCCGCATGCAAGGCAAAAGCCCTACCCTCTGTGCTATCGGTCTAGCCCCTGGGTTTATTTTAAAGGGGATCACCTGCTCGCCCTTGCCTGGGTCACACATCCCCTCATGCCCAGGTTTACCCTTCGGAGGATGTTTCGTGGGATGTGGCTGGTTCTGCCTGATGGACCTCCCATGGCCTGTCTTTACTCTAACAGACATACCCCGGGGCACTCTGGGAAGCCCTGCCCTGTCTGAAGCTCTCCGTCATGCAAGAAAGACTTTGGGGCTTCTGGGAAGGTCGGGTGCGGGGAGTGTGTGTGTGGGCGAGTAGTCGGGGAGGGGATGGCCCTGTCTTGGGCAGAGGGCAGCGGAGTGGCTCAGCTGGGGAGACGAGTGGTCACGCGAGCCCGTCCTCCGTCCGCCCCGCCTGCCGCCAGGAACATCCAGGTCCACAGCCCCTACGAGATCAGCCGCGCGCCCGACGAGCTGCACTATACCTACCTGGACACCTTCGGCCGCCCCGTGATCGCCGCCTACAAGAAGAACCTGGTGGAGCAGCACATCCAGGACATCGTGGTGAGTGGCTGGGCCCCGGCCCCCGGCCCTAGCGCCCTGTCCCCACCTCCCCCCCTCCGCCTGGCCCACGCAGGCCTGTCAGCTCCCTGCGCCTCGTCTCCCCGCAGATCCACTACACGTTCAACAAGGTGCTGATGCTGCAGGAGCCCCTGCTGGTGGTGGCCGCCTTCTACATCCTCTTCTTCACCGTCATCATCTACGTCAGGCTGGACTTCTCCATCACCAAGGTACGCCCTGGGCGGCCCACCGCCCTGATTCACTGTGCACCCAGCCAGGTCAACGGGCTGTCCCTGCGTAAGGCTCTGCTGATTCTCGTTCTCCGGATACCGTGTGGGGGCCGTGGGGGTTCTGGCAGTGTCGAGCGAGGTAGTGGGGCCGGCAGGAATTGGGTGGCCCAGCAGAGGCCCCAGGAGAGTCCTGAAGGAGCAGAAAGGTGAGGGAGGACCTCTGCCGGGGGTCTGCGTGGACAGCAGAGACAGAGCTCTGGGTGCAGGCGAGCAGGCGTGGTGAGCTGCCCGGGCTGCTCCCAGGCTGGCCTAGGTGTGGGTGGCTTCGCCTGGCCGCGCAGAGTGTGCAGCGTGAGTCTTACTGCAGATATTCCCTGGTGAAGCCATAAAAATCACTGCTTGAACAGTATTTGAGGCACTGGAGAGATAGTATGGAGGTGAAGGCGCTTGCCTGGCACACGGCCAACCCTGGTTTGATCCCAGAACTGCATATGGTCCCCCAAGCCATGCCAGGAGTGACCCCTGAGCACAGAGTCAGGAGCAAGCCCTGAGCACCGCCGGGTGTGGCCCAAGTAAAATCCACGTTGGCTAGAAAGGCTGCAGGAGTGCCCGGGTATGCGTGCCCTTCGCGGCCGCCCTGCCCCCGTGCCCGGACAGACATGCCCCTGGTTTCTCTGGAACGTTTGGGAGTGAGTTGCGGACAGCTTAGCTCCTTTCCCTGAGTCCTCAGATTGGTGCACAGGGATAAGGCGGTTCTCCATAACCGCAGTCACCACATGGGAGAGATTCAGGAAACCTACAGTGCACGTTTTGCCAGTTGCCCTCATGATTTTTGGGGAGGACTCTCCTAAGTGGTATTTCAGAGACTTGGGGTCCCTCTCAGAGGTTCTTGGTCAGCTGGTTCAGATGGAGAGATTGAGGGGCTGGTGCTGCTTGCCATGCCAGGGATGCCTGGAGATGCCCAGGAAGGAATGCCCAGGGATGCCCAGGGAGTAGCGGGATCTGATTCACATCAGCTGAGCAAGGCCTATGCCTTGACCCCTGTAACCCCCTCCCTGCCCCCCGATGGCCACTGCTAGAGTATTTCTTGTCTTATTGCTATTGTTATTGTGGGGGCCACATCCGGCTGTCCAGGTGTTGCCAGGTATAGAGGTGGAGCCTCACAGAAAGGTAGATGTGCCACCATGGAACTGCATCCGGCCTTCCGTGATTCTCTTTGAGGGTGCAGAGTTCAGTCCCTGGCCTGGGGAGCGTCTCTCTGGCCGCCTGGATTCTGGGACTATTGCTCAGCCTTTGTCTCTGATGACTGGCTGTTTGAAGTGTCAACATCTACCTGAAAGGCTTCCCCTTAGTTCACACTTATCGCAGGGTTCTCACTCACTGAGGTGTTGCAGGAACACTGTGCTTATGTCTTTTTTTCTTTTTTGCTTTTTGGGTGACACCTAGCGATACTCACAGTTATTCCTGGCTCCGAACTCTGAAATTACTCCTGGTTCTGTTGACATTTGGGGAACCATGTGGGATGCTGGGGTCGAACCCAGGTTGGCCGCGTACAAGGCAAGCGCCCTCCCTGCTGTACCAGTGCTCCAGCCCCCACCTGGAAAGTGATTCTGGTGCTTGTGACCCCCAGTATTAGAATATTAGCTTTCCCATACGAAAGGTAGCACAAGTACATTCTTTTCACTTTTTGAGGTTTGTTTTTGTTTTAGATTTTGTGTCACACCCAGCAGGGTTCAGGACTCACTCCTAGCAGTGCTCAGGGGACCATATGTGGTGCTGGGGACTGGGCCCGGGTCAGCCATGTGCCCAGCAAGTGTCCTGCTCACTGTACTATCTCTCCAGCCCTGGGAGTTTTGATGTTACCCTTTAAGCCTTTCGTACCCTGGAAGCTGCTGCATTTTTGTTTCTGGTTTGGGGTCACACCCGGCAGTGCTCAGGGGTCACCCCTGGCCCTGCACTCAGGGATCAGTCCTGGTGGTGCTCGGGGACCACATGGGATGCCGGGGATTGAACCTGGGTCGGCTGTGCTACCTAATGCTCTGGCCCCTACCTGGAGGCGTCTGAAGGAGTGGGACGCTGGTGCCGCTTTGCCTCAGCGTCCCTGTCACCCGCACTTACCGTTTTTCCTTCTGCGCCTGCATCTGGCCCCTGACAGGAAGGCCAGCTTCCCGTCCCCCGCCCTGCGCTGACCCGGGCTTTCGTTCTGGTTTCCCTGCCGGTCCTCATCCGACGGCTGGCGGGTGCTCTTTACTGGGTACTGCAGGGAGGGGCAGGCGGCCTGCACCAAGTCCCACCTGGTGTTGCCCCCAGGACCCCGCCGCGGAAGCCAGGATGAAGGTGGCCTGCATCACGGAGCAGGTCCTGACCCTGGTCAACAAGAGGATCGGTCTCTACCGGCACTTCGACGAGACCATCAACAGGTACAAACAGTCCCGGGACGTGTCCACCCTCAACAGCGGCAGGAAGAGCCTGGAGACGGAGCACAAGGCCCTGACGGGCGAGATCGCCCAGCTGCAGTCCCGGCTCAAGACCGAGGGCTCTGACCTGTGTGACAAGGTAGGTGGGGCCCACCGGCTGGCCACAGCGCCACCTGGTGGCCGCTCTTGCTGTCTTGGGCTGTGGGCTGCCAATGCTTGTCACAGACAAGAAGGGAAAGGGTGGGGTGTCTCTCGGCTGTACCCCGAGACGTAAACCGTGGGCCTTGCATGAATGAGGAGTCGGTGATTCGGCATCACCCAGGTTTCCTGGCTCTGGCATGTGTGAGGGTTTAGTGCCGGGGAGGGCAGAGTCCCCTAGTGGGGGCTGTAGTCTGGAGGCACCCTACCCCCTCTCCTGCCCAGCTCGTTCCTCACGGCACACTCAGGCCGCTCACAGGAGCCCCAGCTATGCCAGGCGCGGCGCCTGGGACCACCTGCACTCGGGCGGGCCGGCTTGGGTTCGTGGGCGTGAATGTGGTGACAGCCCGGACGCCCCATTGGTGCCATTAGGGCATCTGTGCTGCTTGGCTCCCTGAGCCTGACTTCCCCCAGGGGAGAAGAATGACTGTCACCGGCTGGGAGATGCTCAGAGGGCTGGGCCGGTGCTTCACGCGCCAGAGCCCTGGCCTGACCCTCTCCCGCGTGGCCCTGTGCAAGGACGCTCCCCTGCACGTGTGCCCGCCACACGCCTGCTCATGTCCCTCTGGCCCGGGGTGGCGAGGCGGGGGCCGCGGGGACAGAGGCGACCTCAGATGCCAGGCCCATTCTTCCTCCACGGGGGTACCTTTCCGCTGTGGCTCGGGGCGCTACCCATCTGGGAGGCACCGGGGCCCCCCTCACGCCCTGCCCTGCTTCGCCTCGGCCAGGTGAGCGAGATGCAGAAGCTGGACGCGCAGGTGAAGGAGCTGGTGCTGAAGGCGGCGGTGGAGGCCGAGCGACTGGTGGCCGGCAAGCTCAAGAAGGACACCTACGTGGAGAACGAGAAGCTTCTCTCTGGGAAGCGGCAGGAGCTGGTCACCAAGATTGACCACATCCTGGATGCTCTGTAGCCCCCGCCGGGGGTGGCCCTGGATGGGGGTGGGGGGGGGCGGCGGCCGTCAGGGCGGCTGGTGTTGGCTCCTGAGCTTGCCAGGATCTTCCCAGAAGCCGAGCCAGGCCCTGCCCCAGGCCACACAAGCTTTGTTTTTGTTCCAAAGCTTTCCTTTTTATAAACTTAAAAAAATCCAAATCTCATTAAAAACGAAATATTTTTTATGTTTAAACAAAGAAATTTTCGATAATTGGTTGGTTTGGTTCCGAAGCCCGGGGTATTTCACTCATAGCCCTTGTTTGATGCCCTTCTCAATTCTGATCTTTGGGTCTCTTTTGTAAGAGTGTGTGTGTGTTTTTTTTAAAGCGCGTGTAATCAACTGAAAATAAAGCAGGGACTGTGATACGTTTTATTCTGTTGAAATGTCTGAATGCGGGTAGTTGAATGCTGGATTTGGGGCCAGAGAAAGGTGGGGTGCGCTGGGCTCTTGCCGTGCATGCGGCCCACCTGGGCTTGATCTCGGTCCCACGAGCACCTCCTGGTGTAGCTGGGTTTGTCCTGAGCTAGCTGGCCTGGCAGGTGTGAGTCCTTGCTCCCCTCCGGGGCAGGGCGGGCTTGGTTTTCCCTGTGCCTGGGACCCCGCCTAGGACCGTGAGTCACATCCCCAGTCCCCTTTTTGCCTTTCTCCTGGCCTGTGCCGCACCCTCTGCCTGGCACTAGGAAATACGATGGAGGGCGCAGAGGGTCTCTCCAGGACAGACGACCGCCCTGTCAAACACGTTCATCCGCCAGCCTGTGAGGAGGGCCCGGATCTCAGGGGTGACACCTGGTGGGGAGGCGTGGGGTGAACTGAGCGTGCAGAGCTCAACGCCTCCCTCAAAGGGCCTGAGGGAGCCCTGGCCACAGGCTGGCAGAGCCGAGGGGAGGGCTTGCCCTGAGGGGGAGGCCGTGCTCAGCATTATGAGTTGTGCCCCCTGGGGTGGGGTGGGCGGGTGCAGGCCATCGTGAGGCCGCGCTCGCCTTGGTCTCCCGCCTGCAGCTGGCATCTTGACCGCCGCCCTCCTGATTCTCTCTTTTTAAAAAAAAATGTAGGAGTACCTCTATTCAGCCATTGATTAATTGATTAATCAGATTAATCTGATTGGGCATGAACTCCACATTACTATTTTTAAATTCAGAATGTTCACTGTATCACTGCCCTCCCGTTGTTCATCAGTTTGCTCGAGCAGGCCCAATAATGTCTCCATCTTGAGACTCGTTACTGTGTTTGGCATATTGAACACATCACGGGTAGCTTGCCAGGCTTTGCCGTGGGGGCGAGATACTCTCGGTAGCTTGCCGGGCTCTCCAAGAGGGGTGCAGGAATTGAACCCGGCTCAGCCGGGCTGGTTGTGCGCAAGGCAAATGCCCTACCACTGTGCTATCGCTCCAGCCTGAATTCAGAATGTTAATTTTATTTTATTATTTTTTAAATTACGTTAATCACTGTGGATAGTTACAAAGCCTTCCCGCTTGAGCGTCAGTCATACAGTGATTGATCACTCAACCCTCCACCAGTGCACATCTTCCACCACCGAGGTCCCAAATATTCCCCTCCCCATCCCACCTCTCCCCCTGCCTCTGTGGCAGACAGTCCCCCCTAGACCCTTTTGTATTGCTTGTTGGGAACTGCATAAGATGTCGCGCTGCTGCAAGAGCAGCCGCGTAGTCCTGGAATTCTAAAACTTTAGATAATTAGCGTCTGGAGAAATCTGCAGCGAGCTGCTTGGTTGGGAGATTCTTTTGTGTGTCTCTGGATCATGGCCATTAAGGAGCTTAAGTAGCAGCTGGAGGCGGTTTGTGGGCATGACCTCTAGGGTCCCATGGGGCCAGGGGGACGAGAAGGACCGGCCCATTCCCTGTCCCTTGGAACTTGGAGTTTGTCATCACTGAACCCACGTACCTGCACTTCTCATTGGGCTCTGGAGGGCCCTCCTGATTCTTGCTCCTCTTTGGCCGCTGTCTCAGGCAGGAACGCTGTGCACGACTTCCCGCGTGCTGTCCCATCCTGGGAGGCTCTCTGGTTTGTGTTCTGTCTCACTTTGCACACGGCACGTATTGCCTGGGCCCTGCAGGCCGGGGGTTACTCACACCCAGAAGGCTTTGGAGGAGCAGAGTGTCGGGCTGAGCCAGGGCTGGCCGCTCGCATGGTCGCGCCCTTTAGCCCTGCGGTACCTCTCTCGCCCTCCACCCCCAGCCCGAGAGACGAGGGACGTGCTCTGTTCTGATGGTGGAAAAGAGGGTTAGGCTGTCCGTGGACACGTGGCTGTTTGGGCCTGGAGTTCAAAGGAGACACGGTGTGGAAATAACTGGGAAGATGGGGCTTGGGGGTGGGAGCCCTAGGAGGGGCGTGGGGAGCCCCAGAGCTGGGCTGGTCTTGGAGCTCAGCACGTGCCCTCGCAGAAGTGGCCGCTGGTCAGGGAGGTGGACAGTACTGAGAAGGTTGAAAAGGCGAAACTTGGAGCAAGTGGCAGGCGCTGTGAGGGGTCAAGCCCAAGGAAGGCTGAACGTTGTTCGGGTGCCGGGAGCTCTCCAGGGGTGCTGATGGGGAGGTGGGAGCCTGGGGCTGAGCCTGGAGGTGCACGGGAGGAGGGCGCGAGATGCAGCAGGAAGAGGTTCAAGGGCAAAGTGCCACTGGGAAGGGCCCGGGGAAAGGGGGCATAGGACAGCGCTGGGTTCTCACTGTCCAGAGGCAGCGGACAGTGCTGAGGGACAGTGGGAGGAGGGGACTTGGGGATGGAGGAGGCATCGGAGCTGGGGCTGCCAGTCACACGCCTCAGAAGTGATTGCTGGGGGCTGGAGCGATGGCACAGAGGGGAGGGCATTTTCCTTGCACGCGGCTGCCCCGGGTTCAATCCCCGGCAACCCATATGGTCCCCCTGAGCACCGCCAGGAGTAATTGCGGAGTGCAGAGCCGGGAGTGACTCCTGTGCATCACTAGGTATGACCCCCCAAAAAGCAAAAAAAAAAAAAAGATTGCTGCAAACGCTTGCAGCAGGGACGTGCCGGGCTCAGCGCAGCTGGGTCACATGACGGTGCTGGGGACCGAGCCTGCGTGCACTGCGGTTTCCGCCGCCCACGGAGGCCTCTGGCGCCCCCCGGCGGGCGCGAGCGGGAGGGACCCGGACCCCGGGCCGGCCGCCTCCAGCCTTCCCCAGCCGCGTCCCTGCACCGCGTTTGCGACAGGCCCTGGCAGGCGGCCACGGCGCGGGCGCCCCCTGCTGGGCCGGAGGGCCGCTCGCCGGCGCGCTGGGAGCCCGGCGGCCGGGGCGGGCGGACAGCGGGGCCGGGGGCGCCACCTAGCGGCGCTGGCGGGCACTGCTGGTCCAGGTGTGCTCCCGCCGGTGATGGGGACACGGGCCCAGGATGCCCTGCTGGCCAGCGAAACTGGGGCGGGCACCTTGTGACCCACCCGGCCTGGCGGCACCCCTTGCTTTAGCTTCTCCGTTATGGGGGGGCCTTTGTGCATCTCCACTGGCGGCTCTGTGCCTCCCGTTGTTGCTGGGGTCGGAGCCCAGCGGTGTCCTGCTTGGACAGCCTTGTCCCAGGCCTGGCCAGGGCCTCTCCCGGCCTCCCAGTTGGCGTCCTCTCTGTGGCCCTCACCTCAGGGTGGGCGAGAGGGATCCCCTTCCACGCTCCCGGGCCTCCTCATCCCCGCAGAGACCCAGGGCAGCGCTGTCCTGCAGCCCTGGCCAGGCCCTGGTCCCCCGTGGCCGGGCCTCCTGCATGGCCTGGCTTCGGCTGGGCCTGAGGCCTGTGGGTGCTGCTATAGCAGGCCCTGGCCCCCGGGGAAGATGGCCCGGTGTCACCCTCCCGCCCCCATTTGTCTTGGAGGCTGACACGGAGAAACCCCCAGAGCTCCGGGCGTCCTCACAGTTTCACCACAAGTATCCTGACCGGCGTCTGGCGCCGAGCTGATAGTGCAGGCCCGGCCCGCAGCCCCGCCGGAAACCGCACTGCCAGCGGTTGGGGGCCACGGGCCCAGACAGGAAGCACCCCCAGGCGAACCCCCCGGCTGGACTCAGACCTGCTGCCGGGGGCCCAAGCCCGGGGCCATAATGAAGATGGGCCGGAGCCAGGGACCCCGGCCTGGGACCTGGGGACGGGTCTGTCACCTGCAGGGGCAGGCTTGGAGACAAGAGGGGGCCAGCTGGGGTGTCCAGACTGCTAGGCCCGAGCCAGGGGGGAAACCAGCCTCTCCTTGGCGGTGGTCAAGGCCTCCACGGGCCCCTGGACTGGAAGCAATGGCTTCGCCTCCCGTGGGGGGCCGGGGCAGGCCCAGCACAGTGACTGGGGCAGGAGGTGGGCATACGAGCGGGCAGGTATTTCGCACCATCCCTGGACCTGTAGGGTCTGATGTGGAGGCTGGGGAGGAGGTGGGAGCCCAGTTTGCTGTCCTATTTCCTTGTTTGGGGCTCACTCCTAGCTCAGCACTCAGGAATCACTCCTGGCGATGCTCAGGGGACCCTGGGGGGTGCTGGAGATCGAACCCGGGTTGGCTGCATGAAAATCAAGCGCCTTAGCCGCTGTACTATGGCTCCAGCTCCTGTTTTTTTGTTTTTCTCTTGGTCTGGGGGCCATACCTGGCAGTGTTCAGGGCTTACTCCTAGCTCTGAGCTCAGAAATCACTCCTGGCAGTGTTGGGGGGACCATCTGGGGTGCTGGGGATCGAACCCGGGCTGGCTGCATGCAAGGCAAATGCCCTCCCTGCTGTGCTATGGCTCTGGCCCCTCCTCTGTTTTGACTCCCACTAAGGCTAGACCCTGAATGTGTGAGTGGTTAGGGCAGGGGCCCCTTTGGTGTGCAGAAAGGGGGTCCCCGCCAGAGGTGGTCCTCAGGGAGCGGGCAGGGAGGGCAGGAGCGGGGGCATTGGGGCACCCTTGGGAGCTCTAGCCAGGCCGAGCCTCCGGCAGCCCCTGAGTCAGATCTGCTCACGCATCACCTCCTGGGACCTCCCTGCCCTCCTGCACCCCCTACCCTGTCCCCCTAGAGGTTCCTGCTCAGCCGGCAGGCCTTGGTGCTTATGCCGGGCCGGTGGAGACAGGGAGAGCGTGAGGCAGACGGGCCTTTGGGAGCGGCTGGTTGCTGCAGCTGCCGAGAGGGGCGCAGGACAACCTGGGCGAACTGGCTTCCCGCTAGTGGGAGGTGGAGCAGAGGCCGCACGGGACGGCCTGGTGGAGCCCAGGGCCTGGGGAGGCTGAGGGCACCCGCTGTCGCCTCCTCCCGCCCTTCTCCCCACCACAGGCTCTTCCTGCTCTGCGCGGGGGTCGCTGTGAGGGTGTGTGTGGGGTCGGGATCCCCCGGGCCTCCTGCACGCCAAGCCCGGGCTCAGCAATCAATCTCTCCAGCCTGGACAGGCAGTTGGCACTTTGG